GTTTTAGAAGGAATTCGAGAAAGAGCGTCAGCCTTTTTATTTCTAGTTCCAGGTCTGTATATTAACTGGAAGTTAAACCGGTTAAAAAATAGGTTCCATCTAACTTGTCTAGCCATAAGGGTTTTATTAGTATAAAGATATTCAAGATTTTTATGGTCTGTATAGACTATGATAGGTTGTTTTGTATCTTCTAATAGATGGCGCCAATTTTCAAAAGCAGCTTTAACACTTAATAATTCCTTTTCACCAATAGGATAATTTTTTTCAGCAGAGCTCAAGGATCTTGAAAAGAATGCGACTGGATGAAGTGGATCTTGAGGAGTCTTTTGCTGAGAAAGAACTGCTCCGATAGCTGAATCTGATGCATTGACTTCTAGGACATACAAGAATGTTGGATTAGGTAGCTGTAGAATAGGTGCAGTTGTAAATCTTTTTTTTAAACTATCGAAGGCAGCTTGTGCATCTTTATTCCATTTGAAAGGACGTTTAGTACTGTTAAGGTGGTTAAGTGGATGTGATACCTCTGAGTAGTTTCTAATGAATTTTCTATAGAAGTTTGCAGATCCAAGAAATCGTTGCAATTCTTTTGTAGTAGTATGAACGGGCCAGTTAATAATACATTCGATTTTAGAGTTATCCATTTTCAGAGAATGAGGTGAAATAATGTATCCAAGAAAGGAGAGTTCAGTAACTTCAAAAAGACATTTCTCTGGTTTAGCGTATAATTTGTGAGTTCTCAATCTAGATAGAACCCATCTTACATGCTTCCTATGTTCATCCAAATTGTTAGAATATATTAAAATATCATCTAAGTAGATAATAACACAAACATCCAAAAGATCTCTAAAGATATCATTTATAAAATGTTGGAATGTTGCAGGGGCATTACAAAGCCCAAAAGGCATCACTAGATATTCGTAGAAACCATATCTAGTCCGGAAGGCGGTCTTCCATTCATCATCCTGTTTTATTCTGATGAGGTTATATGCGCCTCGGAGGTCGAGTTTAGTGAATATAGTTGCGGTTCTTAACCTTTCAATTAATTCATTTATTAGTGGAAGAGGATAACGATTTTTTATGGTTATTTTATTTAAGGCTCTGTAATCTATAATTGGTCGGATGGTTTGGTCCTTATTCCTCACAAAAAAATATACTAGAGGCAGCCGGTGAAGTCGAGGGTCTGATGAATCCCTTACGTAAATTTTCATTAAGATATTCTTTTAAGGTCTGTAATTCCTTTTCAGAAAGTGGATAAATGTGTCCATAAGGAATGGGAGCACCAGGTATTAGATCTATTGGGCAATCATATGCTCGATGAGGTGGAAGTGTTTCCGCTTCTTTTTTTACAAAAGACATCTGAAAAGTCAGAGTAGAATGGAGGTATAATTGATTCCTGAGTAGTTTGGAGAATAGGAATATGTTGGAAGCAGGTTTTTTTGCAAAAGTCAGAAGGAAAAGAAATGGAAAAGGGTGACCATTTAATTAAAGGATCATGAGTTTTTAACCAATTAATTCCTAGAATGACGGGATAAAGTGGAGATTTAATAACATCAAATGTAAGGAATTCTGTATGTACGTTATTGGTAATCATTCTTAGAGGAATTGTCTCATCTTTTATGGGTCCTGAGGATATGAATGAACCATCAATAACTCTGATTGGAATAAAATTGGTTTTTCGAACACACAGAATTTTATTCTTTGCAACAAAAGAAAAATCAAGGAAGGTTCCATTAGCACCAGAATCAATAATGGCTTCAGTCACGATTCTTTTTGTATCCCACTGTAATATGAGAGATATAGAAAAATAAGTAGATGTTTTCCTTTTTTGAAGAGCGTTCAATATAGAAGTAGATGAATGAATTACCAGCTTTCGAATGGATTAGTAGGGGACATTCTGGGATTAGATGTTCTTTTGAAGCACAATACATGCACAAATTTAGTTGTCTCCTTCTTATACTTTCTTCCGAAGTAAGAGGGCTTCTTATTATACCAACTTCCATAGGTTCATTGTGAGGAAGAGATTTTTCAGGAATTTTTGGAGTAGTAAAATGTTTTCTCCAGTTAGAAGTAGTGTGAACTTTTTCAGCCCTTCTTTCTCTTAGACGTCTGTCAATACTAATGGAAAGTTGAATCAATGCATTTAGGGTGGGAGGAAGTTCAATACGAGAGAGTTCATCTTTCACAGCTTCTGATAATCCGAGACGGAATTGATTGCGTAGAGTGATGTCATTCCATTGGGTTTCTGTAGCCCATCTTTTAAATTCTGCAATATAATCTTCAACAGGTCTGTTCTTTTGGTGGAGACTTCTGATGTTTAAATCAGCAGTAGCCTGTTTATAAGGATCTTCATATAATAAAGACATAGCTTCAAAGAATTCATCCAATGAATCTAATATGGGATAATCATTCTCTAAAAAGGAATGGGCCCATGCCATAGGTTCACCTCTTAAAAAAGAAATTACTGAACAAACTTTTGATCTTTCAGTGAGATAAGATCTAGGTTTTAAAGCTATCAGAAGTTTGCAAGAATTCAAAAACTCTCTGTACTTTGTTCTATCTCCATAAAATTTTTTCTGGATTACAGACAGCAGGATCACCAGCCGATTGAAGAGCGGCATGAGGAAGATGGCCTTGCATGTCTCTAACATAGGTTAATATTCTCTCATTCGTGATTTGCAGTTCCTGTAACCCTTGAGCAATCGTATCCACTCTATTGGTTAGAGCAGAAACTTGTGAGTTAATATCTGCTGGTTCCATTGAAATAGGCTGGATTATTCTGTGATGCTTTTGTGTAATACCTCTTTAATTGGAACTCAACTGCAGAATATTCTGAGGGCAGGAACAGTAAGTTTCACCTCCTATTATATTGGAGTGAAATCAGTGGACTGTATCTTTAAATAATAATCAGGAAAATGCCAAGTTAGTTCCAACTTGAATTTTAATAATGAAGTTTTAGCCTTAGCAGCAATCCTTATTTGTCAACAGAGAGTTTAAAGAAATTAAATACTATAATTAATTGATATGACTTGCTTTCCTTGACAAAAGATTTACTTAACTTAGAAGCACTCTGGCACTGGAAGGGTTAATTCACCCAATGGAGGAAGAGGAAGGAGTCTCTTTTAACAAACTGCAGTTTAGTAGTGAGAGAAAGGAAGTCCGTTTGTCCAAGCCGAGGTCTGAGAGAGGAGAAGGTAGAAATCCGTTTACAAGCCGAGGTCTGGGAGAGGAGAAGGTAGAATTCCGTTTATAAGCCGAGGTCTGAGAGATGAGAAGGTAGAAATCCGTTTACAAGCCGAGGTCTGAGAGATGAGAAGGTAGAAATCCGTTTACAAGCCGAGGTCTGAGAAGTGGAGCCGGTAGCATCGAGTAGAGCAGCTGATCTCACTGCCGCACCTGAGTGAATAATCCAGCCCTTTGAATCTGGCGCGGTCTTCCTAAGTATCGTGGAAAGACCGCGTCAGAAAAAAGGGGCGGACCTAAGCGCCGTGAACCCGGAAGTGGGTTCCGGCGGCAGCATGAATGTTAGGTATACCTGACACTCTATAACCTGCGGCCCTAGCCAAAAAGTTCACCATGGCTGGACTGTACCGCCTACCTACCATCACCAAGACCTCTACCGTTCTACCAGGACCTTACCAAGGCCACGCTACAATGGCGGAAATCATTGGCAGCCCTCACTAGCCATCTATGCTCAGCAGGAGTAGCATACAGATGGGGGATGCCGAGATCCCTTCTTGTATCCTATAACGGAACTGTTCACAAGCTGTCAGCGGAATCTGAAGCAGAGGTGCTGCTCCAGGCTCTGGGTCTTACAGACACCACACCGGCCACCTCTACTACACTTCTCACCCAAGCCTGGGACCCAGAAGCAGCAATACGATTTGTGCCAAGAAGCACACCAAGACCCACACCAGCCACCTGACTGATAAGGGAGAAGACACCGCTCCACGTTTGGAAGCAATCTGCAACAGTTCATCTATGTTCTGTATCTGTACTTTTCGCTTTAGTTCTCTCTGTTGCCAAAATACTAACATGTTACCCTTTTGGTACTCATACCTTATATGGCCAGGCCCTACCTAGTTTAAGCCCTGTCTCGAATGTACATACACATTAGGCACACCCACCAGAGGTGTACCACCCCCTCTCTCCCCCCCGAGGAACCAAATAGTCCTCCTGACACCACCTACTCCACCACTTTGGCTACCCAAACGACTGCCTCACACCCAACTCCCATGAGCTACAAAGCTACAAACCAACACTCTACAACCACCCTCACGTCACTCACTCGTTATCAACAAGCACCCAGAATGTTAAAACCCCGCATCCACTCACTCTAGCTAGCCCACACATACTGCCTCAAATCGACCTGGTAGAGGATCACCATCACATACATAATCTAAATACGCTAGTATGCACCGACTCCCCAACCAGGGCTACAACCCTACTATATATAAAAAAAAAAGTGCGTAATGTCCTCAATGATGTACCAGTTTCTTGCAAACCTCATTCACTGTATGATAAATGTTACAAAGTAATATTACAATTCTGCCCGTACTTGTTGTGACAAGGCAGGCTTCTGTATAATTCGCTGCGCACCAAAAATAAAGAATTATAATAAAAAAATGTGATGTTGTTTTATGCATGTTATAATCTGTGTATACAGTATTTCTGTTTATGCTAAAAAAAATAAATGGTTATTTACTACTGTGAGAATTCAAAGTGAATTTCAAATTTTAAGACAAAATAGGCAAACTTTGAAATTTGCTTTGAATTATCACTTTAGTAAATCACCCTATTCAAACTATTGTTAAGTTTTTTTTTGTTTGTTTTTTTTATGGAAAA